TGACTATTGCTTTAATGTCTACTGGGCATCTGCTGAGTGGAAGATCAGTGCTTCAACCACTGAACCGCAAACCACTTTTTGTTAATGGGCCACATTGGCTGAACTTAGGCAGCAAGGACGGAGGTGACTGTTCTTAGCTGATATGAACATGAGAGGTGTGACTCTTGGTGAACAGAGAGCTATTGGTCTGAGAAGTCCAAATAAATTCTGTAAGGAAAGTCCAATCAGTGAGTGAAAGTGAGGTAGCTTACTTGGACTCCTGAGGAAGAGGTGACTGGTCTGCTTTTCCACAGGTGGAGAGAAAGCTGCAGGCAGTTGAGTAAGTGAGGTGAGTGCTCCAGGAAGAGCCTTCAGGTGAGGCAGAAACTGCTATTTTTTCAGAAAACTCATGTGCTGTCCGTCTCACACATAGCAGAGCTGGTGACTGATGTTTATCTGCTGGGTTTCAACAATCTTGCACTGCTATTGTGTCCAGTTGCACTCCTGTTTTCACATTATAAGACTTTATGTAGAGTAGGAAAACAAAAGGTCGTTTATCTTGAACAGAGAGCTTTTACAAACTAGAGTGGTTTTCAACATTAAATCGGAACAGAAAACAAAAACATAAGGACAACATCCAAAATGGCCTTGCCTGGATTTCTTACACTGTTTCGGCTGATTAAGAAAAGGCTGTTCTGAACACCACTGTTAGCGCAGCTCAGGATGCTGATCGCTCATGTGAAGAAAAAACACACCTTTTGTCTAAATGATTTGTTTTACATGAGCCCAAAGTGTGACCAGGTAACACAAGCAGAAGTGTTGTGGGGGTTGCTGTAGTTTCATCAACACCTCAAAACATTTCCCATAAATTGCTATCAGGCTTCTCATTTTCAAACACAGTGCTGCAATTAATGTTGAAAAGTAGATTAAACCCTGACAGACAGGCGACCTGTCCCAGGTGTTTCCCTCTGGAAGGACAAGTTAGACATAACTAAAGCACAGATGTCATTTAAACACACTGACAGCAGTTTTTATTTATATATCACTAATCCACGACAGCAGTGAATCGCAGGGTAAATTGAAAAATAGATTTTGTGGGTATTTTTAAAGAATTAACATCTGTAATAATCAGACTGACTGAACCTTTGTTCAGGGCAAACGTGTTTTTCATTGTACTGAAACTGTGTGTGATGCTAATGTGCTGTGAAAACTGTATTTTGCATTTACAGTTTCAAGAAAAGCTTTCGAGAAATCTGTCTTGGCACTTCTGACAAACTGTAAATTATTGGTCCCGCTGCTGTCCCCACCCACAAGATTTCAAGGAGGGACTTGAGCCTTTCACCATTTAACCAGTGA